TTGTATAACCAGAATTCTTATCTTGCAGCTACTGAAGAAAATTCTTGAGGATTATGCAAATGAATTCAAGTTTAGGAAAGCTGGCTTTTCTACCAAGCCCTTTGTCTGATTACGTGGATTCATCTTGGAACAATTTTTTAAATGTCTTTCACTCTTTTGACCTTCACTCCAATTTCATTGTCTCTCTCTCTCTCTCAGACACACACACACACACACACACACACACACACACACACACACGTCAGGTTGGCTCCGCCCACACTTACCAATGTCAAACACCCTTCATGTCATCCCTACTGCCTTGTCCTCTGCCTTTTGTGGAAGGAGATAATACATAAAAATGCCAGAGCAGATAAACACAAGAATTACTCAAGTACCGATTCCCATGAAAGGTAAAGCAAAAATAAAGTAAAGCAAAACTGAGAGGTAGGTGGAAGTTCCATTCTGGCTTTATCCTAAGTTCCCTTCTCATTTTGACTTAAATGACATTGCTTACTTTTATGACAGTCTGACTTTTGTTTCCCTGGCTTACATTTCTTTTCTCTGTCTCTCAAAAATATATAGTGATATATATTATATAAAGTTTCTGCCAGGCTTAGCAGACACTAGGTATGCTGGAATAAGTACTGAAGGAAAAGTCTAGTTTGGCTGAGGGTAAGGAGATCAGCACTTCCTTTCATGTAGAGGTTTTGAAGGCCCACTGTCTGATATCTTCTTATATAATGTGGGATAACTGATTGAGTCTTTTTAAAACTAGACCTAAGGCCCTTTGCCTGAGGTTATCAGAAAGGCTTTTTTTTAAAAAAAATTTTGAATTAGTTTGACTCTAATATATTTATCCTGTAAGCTAGCAGTTGTTTGAAGATGTCAAACTAACAAATGCTTACTATTTTTTCCCCTGCATGGATGACCCCCCAAAATTTACCAAAACTGTGATTGAAATATGCACTTTTGTATGACTGCGAATTTTACTAATTGTTGGGTTTCTGTTTTGGGTTTTCAAATCTGGCAGTCTTCTGCACGGCCCGGTAGGGTACTTTCCTGAAAAAAATGTACTCACAACTAGTTACTCAGTGTGAACCAAGATGCTTCTTGACCTAGCCAAGAAGTCAGCCACATTTTCTACAAAAGGCGGTGCCATGAACATACAGGGCAGCAGCGATCTTTATCACAGATGAAGTTCAGCGTGTCCTGTTTGTGTCTGTGAGGGCAGTGCTGTGATGGGTTAGTGAGGATAGTTGTGCTCCGAAACGATGAAGCTGAAGCTTAGGGTGGGCAGCCATACGGATGGTGGGAGGTGATAAGAAACCTGCCACTGCTGAAACCAAATAGGAGTCTGGATACATTGACGAAACCTGCAGGAGCCCTAGAGGGAAATTTGGAGCATATGGGAAGATCAAGCCGTCCAAGGAAGGTGGCACCCTGGGATGCCAACAGTCTTTCTTTCCCCTCAATTTGATATTAAAAATATGCTAAAGCAAGCCTCATATTTTTTGAAAATAACCCTCAAAAGTTTAGGAATCTTCTCCTTGGATTACTCCTTTTTCAATGTAGGAAAATATTGTTGTTGCAAATGAATATATAAATATTTTAACACTTTAAAAGCTACTATAACCCATTTAAATGATTACTTGTCAAATGAGCGTATTTCTGGTCTCTAGATTGCTTTTACAGGCGAAATGAAAGGATGCCTATATTAATTCCCTTCTGTGAAAACAGCATCCAAGTGTTTTACTGACTGAAGAATGTAGTGCAATAGAATCTGCCAACTTAACATCATTCCTTGAACTAATGCACAGATTGGAGTTACTGGAATAAAGGTATCATGTGCTTTTTCCATTTATTATTTTGGCACAGAATGCTGTTTACTGTGTTGGGAAGCGACATGTAACCTGGTGTAGCATGATTCCTAAAATAAAAATTATTAGCATAAAAAAAGTTGGCATTTGATTTTCTGTGCTCCAGATAAAGGCAACGAAATGCAATCTGAAATCCTTCCAACAGAGGGCTCTATGGGTTTGATTTAGAGCAAGAAAGAAAGTAAGGAAAAAACTCCTTGGGTTTAGGTTGCTATAGTAAATTCTGTATTATACTTAAAAATAGAACAGATAAAAATGGAGTCAGTGGAGTTGAACTGGAAAAATCATCCAAAGATGAAATGTAAGATCTACTCTTACAAGACAGAATTTCATAATTCTTTGAATTGATGTTCTTTTCAAAAGACAAAATATATTTTACCATCTATAAATAAGAAAGTAGGCAAATTAGAGATAATCCATGCTTTAAAGTACTATTAATATTACCTCATTCAGTTACATTTTAAAAGAAAAAAGGAGCTACTGCATGCATTCTCTTTTTGGAGACATTTTATCTTTGCCGTTGGCAAATAATTTACTGTTGCTATAAGTAGATATATTATGTAAATAAATGCATGGTAAATATTTAATACACAGAATATATGTTTGTATGCATGCACAATGCAAAATGCTACTTAGATGTTTTATGGAAACAAGTAATACTGTTTAAAAAGGTGAAGTAAAAAAGCACGAGAATAAGCTGAACTGAAATATATTTCTTTACCTTATGCAAAGATAACAGCTTACTTCCTTCTGTGAGGCCTACCTTTTAAATTGTTTCAGAGCACAGATGCTTACAGTATATACATTATAGTAAATCAGAGAACAAACTAAGGCAATAAATTACCTTTAGACTCCAGATCTTTGTTTTTTGATTTTAATGAATGCCTTATTTTATCTGATCTCTTCCCACATTCTTTTAAATGCACGGACTAATTGTATTCTATGAACACACAGATTTTCCAAATTTCAACCCACCCTATTGTGTCTAGTTGAAAATTTTTATTTCATTTGATGTGGAAGTGCTTCAGTGGTATAACTAATATTTTATTTAAACAAGTAATTTTGAAGTTTGATATATCTCTTAAAGTATATCTACCAAAATTCTAAAATTGTCATTTAAAAATAATCTCTAAATATCATTTAAAATCATTAGCATCTTAATAAATGTTTATATCTACTACAAAAATTTTTCCCTACAGGTCTTGAATACAAATGCAGATATTCCAGATAAGACGTTTACAAGTAAATAGGCCATATTCAATAAATGTGTAATATGTTTGTATAATTCTATACTTATATATTCTTCACTTACAATCTATTTCTACTCAAGAGGTAGATAGTTATTATTAGTATATGACTTTGACCTGCTAAAATTTTGATCTATATACTTGATTTGATAACATTAGTAAGCAAAATCCTTGTTTTGAATAACATGTTCATAACATATCCTCACTAATAAGTTATTAAATACATAAAATTTGGTTTATCTATAAAATCATTTTCAATGTTTTCATGATGTACATAACATTTCACAGGGCAGAGTACATTTGTTCCCTGGGTACTAATATGGCTTTGATCACCAATTTTTATAAATCTTCATGTCTGTGTTTTCTTTTTCTCTAAGTTAGGGAGGAGAGACTTCTAATAAGATCCAAAGAATATTCAAGACAAAATATTTACAGTTCTTTCAGACATTTTAAAAACAAAATAAAGATTACTTTAATATAGCTTTCAATGAAGGAAAATGTCTCATTTTTGTTGTGTTTTGTTTTGAAGGAGCAGCAGCTATGACCTTCAGTGTGCTTCCTAATAGCGGACCATTAGCTGCAGACAACTTTAGCTTCACGGAGCTGCTGTCTTCCAGTTGTAAAATTTTGCACGTATTTCTGGAATTCTTATGTGTAAGTCCTTCTAAATATTTCCCTTTTCCTGTGTATGGAGGGTTATTTTATTTGGCTTCGTTTTAACTAAGCTTAAAGATACAGCACTGTGCCTGTTGGCCAAGAACTGAAAGTACCGAGGACAGAATGTGTAGGAAGCACATTCAGACAGCAGTTTCTTCTAAAATGATCATTCTTCAGTTGGTCCTGAAGTCCAGATATTTGCGTATTTTGTCCAGGTGATGGTCAACAATCCTTTGTATTCTATTGTATTTAAGAGACGATTGCATCGTAGACCATATGAAACACTAAGTAAAAATATTGTAGCCATATTTTGAACTAAACTGTGGTTAAAATTAACAATCGCCTATATGTCTTATATAAAGGCATCAACATACATCTACGAATAAAAATTTTAAAAAGGAATCTTAAATGATATACCCCATGATGTTTATACCAAGGTGTAGACAAGAATCATTTGACTCTGTGAGTATCACTTTTATGGTTAACTGGAAAAACAAACAGAAAAAAAAATTCCTATAACTAGCACACAAAGCTAATGGTTTGCTTTGTGTACCTGCTAGTTTGGTTTGCTATTAAAGCCACCCTGTAAATTTTCCTTTCTTTGTGCAATATTTTATGCTTTTCTTTTCTTCAGGGCAGATTGTTTCTGCTTGCACTTTATTCCTGAACCCACGTTCATTCAAAATGGATTGCCAGACTTAAATGCTCTATCTAGTGCGGCTGCTGCTGACTAATAATGCCCCTCCCCCATTGCAGCTCCTGCCCCATCCTTCCTTAGTGATCCCTTTCCCCTCCTCTCCCTCTCCTCCCCTCCCCCTCCTTCCCCTCCCCTCCCCTCTCCTCTGCTGTCCTCTTCTCTCCGCTGCTCTCCATTTTCTCTCAAATCCGGTACCACCTCCCTCAATACCTCAACGCACACACACACATACACACACACACATACACACACACACAGGCACTCACACATACTCACTTGCACGCACACACACAACCAGAGGCACCACTGGCCCACTGTCAACAAAGAATGCACAATGATGAAGTACTCAGCAGCAATTTTGGTGCTGTTTTGTCTTGCATGTTCTGGAATTATTTCTGAAGTGTATAAATAAGCGCGCCCTAAGCTGTCCCCTTTGCTCTCCACTGATATTCAGAGCGAAGCCCTCATGTAAAGGGGCAGCCTTAGGACTGCAGTGACTGGAATGTTTTCAGATAACAAATGTGAGCCTCCATGGCTCCCTTTCTTTTTAATAACATTAGCCCCATATAGATTTAATAATGAGGTGATGGAAAACATTTTGATGATGGGGCAGATTCTCTGATCTGCCGGGGAGAGCATCTGATTTGCTTGTGTACCAATTAATTATTGAAGCAACTGAAAATAACAGGCGAGTGCTCTTCCTCCCCGAGACAGGATGGCAGTTTGGTACGTGTGCGCGCGTGCGTGTGCATGTGTATGTATGTGCACGTGTCTGTGTTTCGGGGTTTGTTTTTATACGTGTGTATATATTGCTTAGAAGAGAATTGATGAGAAATTTCTTCCTTTTGACCTTGAAATTACTGAGAGATTTTTCTGTGTGTGTGAGATCCTAGTAGGACAGTAACATCTCAATATGATAAGGATGCGATCATTCTTCTTTCCCTTTTCAATTTGTTCTTCCCCCACACTGCCTAAATGGGCCTTACAGCGAAACAGTGCCTTTAATTTTAATTGCTATTTCTAGGGTGTATTTTATTAGCACCTTTTCTGTTTTACAGTGTGCTCAGTGATATGGCATCGGGTCTGTTGTGAGCAAACAATACTGTTTTGTTTGGTGTTCCGATAAACACTGCTCTGCTGTGTGGTGCCTTCCCTATATCCTGTACCTTATTTAATTTGGTTAGGTTGGGGGGATTTACTTTATGATATTAAGACTTTGGTTCATCTTTTCCTGTCAGAGTCTGGGATTTCCTAAAGTTTTAAGGTAGAAGGAGGACAGATACTTGGGTTATTGTAAAATTTGTTGCTTTATATTGTGACAATGGTGTTCATACGCCTGACATCCTCATAATAATATTAAGCTCTATTTTTTAGTGTGATGTACTTTATACATTTGTATAAATGTCACAGCCTGTAATCACTTCCTTTGTCATCGGCGATTAATCTAAAAAAATCGAATAATTCACTGCCCCTTGCCATTTACATATCGTCTGCTGCCATCTGCTCTTCTCAGCAGCAGTAAATGATGGGTAATTAACTCAGTGCCTTTGTCTTTCCCTTGCTGAATGTCTGACACATATAGATTTTGCTCTCGTGCGTGTGCATGTGTATATGTGCATGTAAGAGGAAGAGGGAGGCAAGGGGAGAGGGAAGTGCAAAGAGGAGTGACGGGGACTGCAAGTGTAAGTCGGCACAAAACAGTCGCAGGAGGAAAAGACTAAGATACTGGGGCACAGAAGTGCCCACGTCTCGCGACCTGTGCCTTCTCAAGGCAAAAGGAAGAGTTGCTGATGGAATAATGGCTGACTTGCACAAGCAAGAAGTGATTTTCTAAAACCTTGGAGGTCAAGGTCATGATGCAAAATCCAGTTAAGGCTCCTATCTTCCAGGGTGCAAAGAAGGATCATGGGAATGAGACCAAGTATAGGGTACCCTCAACCCACGGGATATTCTGTGTGACTTCTGAACCAGACGCCAGAGTCTGTATTTCAGGAAATGGTTTTAGAAAGGATATTTCAGGTGATCTTGACTTGTGTCCCATTTCAAAGAATAGAAAGCATCAAGGGCTTAAAAGCTGGAGACTATGTAGAAATGCTAATTTTAAAAGGAAGTAATATTACTATCTTGGATTTCCCAAATTTCCTGTTAAATTATTCAGTTTCTCTGTGCACCCCAAGAGTGTCATAGAAAGGAATATCATACCATTCTGAAGATTTTATATACATTTCCTAATAGTTCTTTTTTGAAACATTTATTTTTATAACGTGCAAAAATTATTTGAGGTGGTTAATTTTGATAACATTAAAAGAAAAATAATTAAAAAGATAAAATTTTAAGGAAAGTTAGAAACTAGTTTGCTCAGACATGGTTACAATGCTAAGTCAATCTATAGTTTAAGAACCAGAAATTTTACATAATCTTTTTTACATGGAATTAGTAAAGCTCTTTTCATTAGAAATGTATATTTTGTTGTATATATATGCTCCAATGTATTTTATTCACTCAGTTAATGTATTGACTAACTTATAGAGATATAAAATATTAATTAAGATAGCTAGCTATCTATATTGGTCATTTCTTTCAGAATTTTGACTCTAAAAATTCTCAAGATGTGAAGGATTTTTAGCTCTTCAGTGTAAAGGTTTAACTATGATGAGTGTAGGGTTTATAGAAAGTCTTAGAACTTATTCTACTGTATATGGGATACTTTCTTCATCCAATCCTAGCTACATACCTCTACTTTCCTATCTGCATAATGGTTATGGAAACATTCTACTATTTTTCTGCCATGAATTTCATGAAGGAATGCTAAAACTATTTATCTTTTTACTTAATTTTGTCATTGGTAATTAATCATGCTCCAGTATCTATCATCATGGGACTTCTGAAGGTTAAATGATGAGTCTATTATCACAAACAATTGGACACCAGTGCAAGGACATTGTATTGTTGAATTACATTTGTACATTAGTCTAAAATGAATTTCAGAGATAACTGACTGCATATATTATGCGATGAAATGGTTAAAATACTACATAGTTGACTAAGTTACTTATATAAAGGAAGAACATTATAAATGTAAGAAGAAAAACCCAGACTTCATCTCCTAGGGCTTGTGTTAACTGTGTGAAGTACATACACTTTATGAAACCATTTAAATTTCATAAACTTTTTATGACTTACAGGTAAATTTGTCAGCGTCTAATTGAGTGAGAGATTCTTGAAAGCTTTCATCGCAATTGTTAATCCAGCATCATTGTTCTCTCAGGCTGTTACGTGACCCAACAGGCTGGGAGAACAATATTGCTGAATATAATTGGCATATGTCAGCAAAATGTAATTAGTGCCAAGCCTCTTTCTGAAATGCTCTTTTTGTTGGTGCAGAAAAGTTGAAGATTTCCTCTTGGATTAAATGATAGCTTGGATTTCTCTCTCATTTGATTTTGGTAGATTTTTAAAAAGAGATGAATTAATTTAAATTTTGATTCAAGGAGTATGTATTGATTTCCTGTGCTGTGCAAACACGGTGAAAGGTTTTCTTTCCTTCAAGAGGTTTTTATTTTATTTCTGCATGAGAGTTTGGTCTAGGAAATATGACACAGCATATCATCAAGGGCCACGATAAAGATCGAGCCTAAATCAATCCTCCTCCACTCCCTTGAGTTTGGGAACTGGCTCCATGACAGGCCATTTCTTAGAGGTTGTGAAAAAAAAGGTGACTCCCAAAGAGCAGATTCCTGCTTGCCTGGTAGTGACAGCAAAGGCAGAGAACTAAGGAAAGCATTTGGGTTGTTGATTGCATCTCCTCCTCTATGCTTAACTCCAGGGCCGTTAGGGTTAATGCTGGCGACAGGGAAGCATGCTGCTATTGTCATTCACTACTAGGAAATTTTGCAGAAAAAAAATACTGTAATATATAACTCTTTGTGTTGAGAGTTGACAAATATTTGTGCAAAAGAACCATGCAAAATTTTCTTCAGAACTCAGGATTGGAATAAAACATCATTTTAATGAAAGGCTGCTTTAGAGTTGTATCAAGAAATATAATTCCTCCTAAGAATGTTGTGACTTTGCAGTCTTACCATGTATCAATGGGTGCTTCTTTCTATTCCAGGCCCTAGCTTCGGGGCACAGCCCAGGAGGGGTAAGGAAGCCCTGCCATCCATACTGGCTGAGAGAGACGTATGCTGATGACCCACTGAGTGCTACACGGCAGTCACAAGTCTCAGTCACATCCTCTCACCAAGCTATCTTTCTCAGCTCATTAAACCTAAGTTCTTCCAACTCATGCTCTGCCCAGGTTCTTAGGCTCCTGGATTCCTGATAGGTCCTCTGCTTATCTCTGCTACACATCCCCACTGTCAGCTGTTTGTGACATATGTCTCATCAATGGCCATTGTCACCCTTTAAGGAATAGAAATGATTTTAAACAGAGCAACTCTACATCTAAAGTGAAACTTGGGAGTAGAAGAGACAGTATTGGAAACAGACCTACCTCTATGGGCATATGTAATCCATTTCAGGTCTCATAGGCATGACAGTGGATTCAAACTTTTAATATTTTAAAAATATATGCATTAGAACATGACATAGTGGAATTAGTTTACTCTGGCTAAAAGTTGGAAAACAATCATAATTTTTCAAACGTGACAGCGATAAAGGGCACCAACAAATTCTACTTTTTCAAGAATATTTATCCATAAGTAATAATATAGACAGGCCAGTTATGCTCATTACAAAAAAGCAGTTGCTACAGAGAAGAAAATGTGGTGGCAAGCTCTAAATAGGCCAAGTGATAATGAGATTTAAGCCATAGAAAAATTTGAGAAGTGCCACCCAATTTCCCAAAGCATAAGAATCGAGGGGTGACTATTTCACATTATCAAAGAGATAGCTTAATTTTTTGGCAGTTTGAATTTAAAACATTAGTTGCTCTTGTTCTTGAACACTTCATACAAATTTTTCTTTTTTTTAACGCTAGCAAAGTTTTATTAAAGGTAGGAAAAGTAGCAGGCTCTGCAGACTGAGTTTGGGCCAAGTAAAAGTAGCTAAAGAAGTGCCTCCAACAGCAAGAGGGTGGGACATAAATTTTTCAAAGTTTAGTTATGATCTTGAGTGCAGCAAGTTAGCAAGGGAAGGGAACTGAACCACAAAAGAGATAGTGACAGTTCAAACATTAAATCAGTTTACTAATCTGCAAAATGGGTCAGTGTTCTGTATACAATGCTATGTGGATGTAAGGTTTGAAAAGGCTGACATGCATGCTTCTGAGGTGGTCCCCCCTCACCACCCCAATTTAAGCAGAATGACTTTAATTTGTGTTTTTTTTTTATTGTTTTGTCTCTGATGTTTTCTCTGTTTAAAACTAACAGAGTTTAGTTTTAAACACTGCTAAAATAAGTGTGAAATTCTTGTTCTCGATGTAACCAGATATAATATTGCATAGCTAGGGAAATAGATCTATTTCTATGCATCTATATAATCTATCTCAGGTCTTGTGAGCAACTATAATGCAGATTTCAGAGCAGACACACCTGGTTTGAATTCTAACTCTGGTTCTGATTTAATTGGGGTGGGAGGTAAGAACCCACGGTAAGAGTTGTATTGTACAAAGATGGCCTTGGTAGAACTATGGACAGGTATAAAGAAATAGGGGCTACAGCTGGGAAAGCATTTAAGGGATGTTTCAAATAGCTTAGATATGAATCCAACTTAAGCAGTGGCAA